ATTTTTACAATCTCATCTTTCCATCCTTGTATTTTTACAATCTCATCTTTCCATCCTTGTATTTTTACAATCTCATCCTTCCATCCTTGTATTTTTACAATCTCATCTTTCCATCCTTGTATTTTTACAATCTCATCTTTCCATCCTTGTGACCTTTACAAAATAGTTCTTTTCTCCCACAAAATGCCTTTTGTAAAATTCTGGAATTCTGAGAACCAATATGTTCTCTTTGTCCTCCTTTGGGCTCGACACATTGAACGCGTCGTTCGTAATGTTCAGTTGAGGCCAAGCACAAGGATCCACTCAACCATGAGTGCTCAATGCCACACACACTGTACACACACACACGCACACACACACACACAGCCACACACACTGTACACCTTACAGTATGGAACTGTTAATAAAGGAGGGGGGTGAGCTTGCCCAAATAGACAGCATTTGTGGCGTTGATATTACCTGGAAGGTGAATAATAATGTGGGCTATGCCAGGGAACCAATTGAATGTCTTAGAGGAAATGTTCACGCTTTTCAAGACAATGGAGGAATCATGAACACATTGCTGTCCTCTGATAGCTTTGCAAACGGGAAAATAGAACTGTCGTAGATGAAGATCTGCCTTGAGAATGCGGACCGTTGAGATGTAGGAAAGTCCTAGCTGCAGACATCGTCTACGGACAGACGTCTCATGGGACTCATCTACTGAATGCTGCACCCTGGTGACGTTTAAAGGTGTGAGAACGGTGTGTGTTTGACCTGAAGTGGTCATTTTGTCGGGGAAATTTTAGTTCTGATTCTCTACAGGTCCTAACTGATGGACTAATTCCATCCTTGACACCAAAGCAGGCCTTAAGGACACTTTAACATCATGTCCGTGCCTTGTGCGAAACTTACGAAATGAGTGGTGAGAAAATGTTCAATACAAAAAGCTCTCTGATCTTCACTGATCTTAACCGTGATCTCAGCAGACAAAGGAAACTTGAGAAAAACTATCCGCAAACTTCTGTTGGCCTGTTAGACTACTGTGGCTTGCAATATGGCGAAATCGTTGGGACATTTAGTGGTAGGACCGTAGACCTAATGTGAACTAATGCGTCATGCTGCATAATGGGGACATAGCTGAAAATGGATTCGGTTTTTACGCGCTATGTAGAGCAAAACCATCCTGTGTATTTTTTCTAAAATGAATATCAAACAAATTCCTTTTGACTTCCAAATTATGTTGTGTACAAATTTGAAACGCTAACATTAACAAAAAAGTTGTACAGTTTGTTAGGGGTTTTTTGGATGACCCTGTATTATATTTGTTAAAGTTCGTCACTTTGGTCGCCTAAAATAACCGAATCACTTAACTTTCGTATTTGAAAAAAATCCACAATGGTTCAGAATGATTTAAAGGAAGCTCGGTTATGTTTTGGAGTCTGACGTCACTGTAGTTTTTCCTTAGTTTCGTTTAGATATAATCTTGGGAAGTCCGTCTTCTACGAAGCCATTGTAAATGAGGCTTCCGTTCACAAGCAGTGCGCACTGGTTCCTCAACGATTTGACGATCGATTCTTTTGAGTCCGTTCATCGAACGGGTACCCAGCTAGTCTACCACAATTGTTCCAAACCTGGAGTATACCCATCTGGTCCACCACAATTGTTCCAAGTCTGGAGTATACCCATCTGGTCTACCACAATTGTTCCAAGTCTGGAGTATACCCATCTGGTCTACCACAATTGTTCCAAGTCTGGAGTATACCCATCTGGTCTACCACAA